TTCTAAACTTCTGGTCACATGGCTGAGGCCAGACTGCCGAGGAGGAGGTGGGGGTGGGGAAAGCCGGCTTCAGAGGCCCCGGGGTGCTTTCTGGTTGGGAGCCCTGGGAAGCCCCTCCTGCTGGGACCAGCACCTGAAGATCTACTTTACGCCTTTCTTTTTATTTCTTTTTTTGGGGGGCGGGGGGAGAGCACACCTGGCGTGTTCAGGGACTCACTCCAGCTGCTGCTTGTGGGCCGTTCCAGACCAAGCCTCATCCAATACATGCATTAGCCCTCGGAGCCATCCCTGAGCCGTCTGGGGCCCCCGTGGAGGGGTCGCGGGTGCTTGCAAACTTAAGAGTTCCGTGAGAACCAGAGCTCCCCTGGATGCCCCCGCCCGCTCCCTGAGAGCAGGCCCAGGGTGGGACAAGGGTCACCCTAAACACGCACGGGGAAGAAAGAGCCAATCTGCCGGCTGAGGCTGAGGGAGCAGGCGCAGGACTGGGTTGGGGTGGGCGTCTCAGGGGAGACAGTGAGAGAGTGTGGAAAGACCCCCCAACACCCCCCCCCCCCACCCCGCAGGCCTGAGTCTGAGTCTGAGTCAGGGCACCACGGGAGGAATCCAGGCGCACTCACTCGGGCGGGCGGGGGAGGTCATAGCCTGCATAATTGAGCAGCCTGGCTGTGAGCTAGTGGGTTAATGGAACATTTCCTGTAAATAGGATTGTCTCTTCCCGGCTCTCCATCTCGGTGCCAAAGTCTACTCGGGCGAGGGGGGCAGGGCGGGGAGTCAGGATGCAGCAAGTCCCAGAGGGGCACCCCACCCCCTGCTGCTGAAGCCCCCAGGAGCCCAAGGGAGCAAGTTGGCTGCTGGACACAGATGACCATTTACTCCAGCTCCTGCTAATGCCCCAGTGGGAGCCTGCCGGGCAGCTGAAGGCCCGTCCGCTGAGTACGGACGAATGCCGAGCCTGCGCTAGCTTCCGGCCCTGGGAGAGGGGCCCGCTGACCCCCCCAACACTGTGGGTCATGAGTCATGTGCTCTCACCGTCCCTTGGGCTGACCTTCCTGAAGGGCCCACGGGGCTTGGGAGTTCTCCCAGGGCCCTGATGCGCCCCCATCTGGAAGCTGCAGGGGATTGTTCCAGCTTTGGTTCGGCGGTCACGTTTGGAGGTCCTCAGGGTTTCCGCCTGGTCTGTGCGCAGGGGTCACCCCTGGCAGGGCTCAGGAGACCCTCTGGGATCCCAAGGATGGACCACTGTGGCCACACGCAAGGCATGTGCCATCCCACCTGCTGTTGTCTTCCCATCTGCCCCAAGTCCAGTGGGAAAGAGTTATTGGGCCCTCACAGGTGAGGTCAAGCTCCCGGTGGCCGTCCTGGCTCAGAGTCAGGCCAAGCGGCAGGACAGCAGGGAGGGCACTGGCCGTGCATGCGACTGACCTGGGTTCGATCCCTGGCACTCTGGAGGGTCCCTCGAGCCCACCAGGAGTGACCCCTGAGCCCAGAGCCGGGAGGAAGCCCTGGTGAGGCCCCAAACAAAACAAAAAGCCAAGCAAGCGTGGCCCCCAGCCCCGCCCACTCCGATCAGCCCGTAACTGGGTCAGAGTGTGAGGCCTCTGCCCGGGCGGGCACCCGGGGTGCTGCCAGCTCCCAGGTGCACATGCTGGCAGGGGCCTCCCTGATGTGGCTGGGGGCCCGGGGCATGGTGCCCGTTGGCCTTGGAGCAGAGGGTGTGGCCCCTCCCCCAGCCCCCTCTCTCAGGTTCCGGAGCCACGGGCCTGTGGACACTGCCGGGAACCAACCCTGCCACCTCCATCGGGACGCCCCCAGCGTCAGGAACAGAGGTGGGTGTAGGGGATGTCCACGACATGCAGGCCCCACCCGCATCTCCCTGCTCAGTTGTGGGGGTACCCGCTGAGCCTGCCTTGCCCGCAACAGGGGAGGGGCTATCCACCACCCTGACCTCACTGTTGTGGCCACCTGGTCCCTCTGGAGCCCAGCTCAGGGCCTGTGAGGGGCGGAGGGTCTCTGCCCAGCAGTGCCGGGAGGGTTGGCTCTGTCCCCAGGGATCACAGGAAGGAGCTTTCCGGACAGACACTCGGTTGCTGACACAGAGGCCTGTCTTTCCTGGGACACACATCACTCTATTTCATTTGTTTTGGATTCTTTTGGCTTTTGGGCCATACACGGGGATACTCAGGGGTTACTCCTGGCTCTGCACTCAGGGATTACTTCCCAGCAGTGCTCGGGGAACCTTTGGAATACCGGGGATCGAACCCCGGTCAGCAGTGTGCAAGGCCAACACTTTACCCTGACCGATTTTCTTCCTTAAGGGGGGCTTGCGGGAGGGGCTGGGAGAGTGCGGAGGTCAGAGGTCATTCTCGACATGTATCCCTCTGGTTCAATCTCCAGCACCACATGGTCCTCTGAGTCCCCCCACCCCCCACCCCCCAGCACCGCCAGGCTGAGCTGTGCCCATCCTAAGACCCCTGCAGCAAAGCCACAGCCCAGCTGGCAGAGAATTATCCGTGGGCCCAGACCTGAGCCCACTATGGGACTCGTATTCTCCATGCACCAGGGCTCCTTGGAGAACTGCAGCTCAGCACCCGGACACCCACGATCATGGCCAGGAGGCCTCGTACCCCTACCTGTGCACCCCACATCCCTGAGCCTGTGCGAGCACTGCACAGCTCAGGCTGCTGTGGGGCAGTCCTGATCCTTGCCCCGGGCCCAACACACACACACACACACACACACACACACACACACATGCACACATGCACACACAGAGACACACGTGCACACACACATGCACACTTGCTCATATGCACACACATGCACATGCACACACACTCATACACACATGCACAGACACATAAGTGCACACACACGCACACACATAGCCACACATGCACACACAGAGTACAGTCTATCATGGGCCCCTCCTTTGTCCCTGGGGCTGAGGGCCAGCACCCAGCCCGGCGACTCTGCCACAGCTGTGCCCCTGTCCCCTCTTCAGGCTGTTCCCACAGTCCACCTGCCCTCTCCAGTGACAAACAAGGAGTGAAACTTGTGTGAGGGCCTAGTGGGCTTAAGGCGTCCATCTCACAGGTGTGGACCCTGGATCCCTCCCCGACACGGGACCCAACCCCGCAGAGTCAGGAGGGGGCCCCCGAGCTGTCCAAGCCCGTGCTCCGAGCCGGAAGCCTCAGCCAGGTCTGCTGGCCCGGGGCTGGTCCCATCCCTGCCAGCCCAGATGTTCTGATCCCCTTCCTGCCAGGGTGTCCAGCACATGCCACCCCATGTCCACCGCGTCCTGGCTTTCCCCTCCCCTCCCCTCCCCCAGGCCTCTCCTTTTTCAAGCCCACTGGAAGCTTCTCCTGTTTCACCGAACCCCCAGCAGGCCGGTGTGTGTGTTTGTGTGTGTGTGTTTGTGTGTGTGTGTGTGTGTGTGTGTCCATCTGCTGCCGTCCCACAGGGACCAACGAGCTTGAAGGAAGGACGGTGATGCCGATGACTCGGCGCTGCCCGTTCCAAGCGGGTCAGAACCGCAGGGCTCCCGGGGAGGAGAGCAGCTGCTTCTTGAGCAGCGCAGCCAGGGTGAAATCAACTTTGGATCCTCCCATCCATGAGCATGGGGAAGGGCGCCAGGGAGTAAGTCCCACACCCAGGGACCCCCGCCCCAGTCACAGACAAGGGGAGGAAGAGGGGCCCCTTTGGGGTCTGGTTACCGCCAGGCAGTGATCACCAACCAGAGGGCACCACGAGGGCTTCGCAGTGGCCACAGCAGCCGGTGCCTGCTCGCATGTCCTTCCCACGGCCCTGCAGCACCGGCCTGTGGGTTCTCACTGGGGACCCACAGGGATGTCGGCACCCCGCCCGCCCCCCCCCCCCCCCCCCAGCCATCACTTTCCCCAGTGTCCTGGAGCTGGGGCTCCTGCAGGCAGTGCCAGCTCAGCCCTCAGCTCTGTCAGCTCAGGACAGCACTGGCCGGGATGCAGACACTCGGCCAGCGGGGTGACGTCAAGGCCCGCCCAGCCCTGGCCTCTGTTTCCTGGGCCCGAGGCCTGGGGACCCCTGCCAGAGCCTCTGAGTGGCAGCGCCTGCCTCCGCGATCTTTTTTTTTTTTTCCATTGTAATTTTTCGATTTGTTCTGGTCTGAAAAATGTGTGTGAGTGAAAGCAGGGGGCCTGGGGCCCGGGCTCCGTGGAGCATTCTGTTATTCGGTTCCGTGTTTCCAGGGCTGGCGCAGACCCTGCTCACTTTCCTTTCTCTTTGGCAAATGATTGTATTCTTCCCAGATTTTGGGTCACCCCTAATGTGCCGCAGGACACGGATGCTCTGCTGGCAATGCCCCCTCTCGCCAACCTGCAACCCTCTCCTCCCGGCCACTGTCCCATTTGCCCAAACACCAATGCCACACACACCAATTGTGGGGACAACTGACTGGCCCCGGGGCCTCGAGGGACCCGCTTTACAATGAGGACACGCGGTGGGAGAGATTGTGCAGCGGAGATAGCGCTTGCCTTGCAGGAGGCCAACCCAAGCTGGCACCTGGCACCCTACATGTTTCCCAAACCCTTCCAGGAGTGACCCCTGAGCAGAGAGGCAGGAGTTAAGTCCTGAGCACCTGAGGGGGTGACCCCAACCCTTTCCCACACATAAATCATAGTAATTAAAATATAAATTGAGGAAATCAGAGATCACCCCCAATCCCCCCCGCTCTCTCTTCCCCCCCCCCCAAAAATGCTACAAGCATCTGTTGTGCTGTTGGGATGGCGGGTAGCAGGCCTCTTATCTTCAATAAAGATAACAGCTGCGTTTCCCTGGAGACGGGGAGGGGAAGCATCCGACAGGCCGGGAAGACCAGCTGGATTTCTGCAGCGTCATTCGTAGACACACAAATCCCAATCCGCAGGGGCCCTGGGGGCGCAGGGTGACACACGAGCCCGGACCCCCTCCTCTGCGTCCTGCTTGTCCCACTCGCCCTCTGTCCCCCCAGCTGTGAGCCCACTCACCTTCCGGGGCTTCACTTTATCATGGTGGTCGTACTGGAAGATCCCTTTGTAGCTCAGACCCAGCCACCAGGGAATCCCCTGCTTGTCCTAGGACACCACAAGGAATATGGGTAAGTGGGGGGGTGGGGAGGGACAGTGGAGAACCACACCCCCCTTGCCCGTTGAACGCGGATGAGCAGCTTGTTTCCCTGGTTACAACACAACTTCTCCCTGTCTGCACTCCCAGGCGCCTTGCTGGTGGTGGGGGGGGGGGGGGGCGGGGGACGGCTGGGGCGGACAGGCGACCAATGATAGGGATCCAAACACTGGGGGAGGGCAGGGCTGATCCGGGAAGCTCAGGTCCCCAATCTCCCATCACCCGAGTCTAGGTTGTAATCTGCACAATTCAGGCTGACAGGAGCGGAAGGAGGTTGGCACAGAAGCTGGGCCTTTCCCGGACCCATCCTCAGAGACACATCCAAGAGTGCTAGCCCACATGGCCGCATGGCAGAGGGGTGAGAGCACCAAACTGGGCCTCAAATGCTGGTGAGGCCCAAGGCAGTTCAAAATGTGCACGGAGGGATCAGAGAGATAGTACAGCGGGTAGGGCATTTGCCTTGCACACGGCTGACCCGGGTTCGATCTGCGGCATCCCAAGTGGTCCCCCAAACACCGTCAGGAGTAATTCCTGAGTGCAGAGCCAGGAGGAACCCCTGAGCATCGCTAGGTGTGGCCCAAAAGCTAGCCAAAAAAAAAAAAAAACCAAAATAAAACAAAAACCAAACAAAAAACAAAATGTGCATGGAGAGAAAGGAAGAAGAAATCAGATGTGGAGCTTTACAAAAGTGACTGGTAGCTAATGTCCTCAGGGATGGAGTGATAGTACAGTGGGGAGGCAGCTTGCCTTGCCCACCCAGGATCGATCTCTGGCCCCAGCCGGGCTGATTCCGGACTGCAGAATCAGGAGTGACCCCTGAGCATCACTGGTGTAGCCCCGAAGCAAAAGAACAAAGAGTGTCCCAGTCAAAGTCCCAGCCTCGGGGCAGAGCCTGGAGCTGCTCTGTGCTGCTTCCAGGGACCCACAGCTGGTGTTCCCCAGAGCAGCAAACCTCCCCACGACGAGGCCGGGCCCAGTGGGCCAGGCCTGCCTGCACTGGACTCACACGCTTCGGGTAAGCAGAAGCCTCGGCTCCCGCCCGATCCCAGGCGCCCATCACCCCGAGCCTCTGGCGGGCTGACAAGCACAGGCCTCTGCTGCTGGCCCCTCACCAGCCACACAGAGCCGGTTTCTGCAGGGCAGCTTGGAAGCAGAAGGGAAAATAGCAGCGGCTGGGCCCTGGCCAAGCACGAAGGCTGGCGAAGACACAGATTTCAGCAAGTTCAAGGGCCCGACCAGCGTGGAGTCCAGTGGGCTCCGGACCGATATGCTGACAGCCGTCCCGTCTGCTCTAAATCTCCTGACTTCTAGGAGATTGGGGAGGGGGTGGCTGGGGACGCCAAAGGCAAGTGCCTTTGTCTCTCACGATGGACCACACGTAGGGGAGATCCAGGAGAAAACACGTAGGCACAGCCCAGAACCCGTGCCTGAGCGTCTGGCTGCCATGCTCGCGTGGGGACCCCGGGCCTCAATTCACCACAAGCTATTCCCACGGTGGAGGGACCTGTGGTCTCAGAAACTGAGCGAGCTCCCCTCAGGGGAAAGGTCACGGGGGATAATGTCCCAATGGACACAGCTGTCAACCCGTGGGCTGGCCCCACCATGTCTGAGCCCATCCTTGGGAATGGACCCAATTTCCCTTGGGGTGGCTGGCGGCCCACGGACTTCAGGGGCCACATGGTAGGAGAGTCTGTACTCCAAGAGCTGGCCTTCTCAGGGACAGGAGAGGCAAGGGGGCAAGCCACCCCCTGCCTGCTGACCACAGCTCGCCTTTGGGAAGGCACGGCTGGCGGTGAATGATTGGGGGCGGGGTTCGAGTTTCTGTTGTGGGAAGAGCTTCCAGAGGCCAAGAGGAGGAGCTGAACCGCTAGAGATGTTCCAAGGCTTGAGAGAGCCCCGGGGTCGAGGCAGGTCTCTGTGTGCCTTTATCTGGTCCCACAGGGCGGGGGGGGGGGTGTGTGTGCCCTGCACTGGTCCCCACCGGGAAAGCACCCAGCCCGATAAATGAGGCAACTCTCCGCCAACACTGAGCACTGGTGTCCACTGAGCACTCCAATGGGTTGGTGTCCACTGAGCACTCCAATGGGTTGGGGGCCACAAGGGAACCCCCAGTCTGTACCGCTGAAAGGAAGCAGCTGAACAGATGCTCCCGGCAGGGGAACATGCACCGAGGGCGTGCAAAGTGCCGGGCAGGACATGAGCATGAGAGGAACAAGGGCGCGTGCTCGAGGCTGCGGTGCTGAACGAGGAGGAAGCAGGAATCGAACGCTGGAGGGGAGGTCGGGGAACCGAAAGCTGGCGGGTGGGACCATGGGTCTCGGGCTCTGTAGTGCGGACTCTGGGCAGTGTCTTAGGCGCTCCACGTGGGGTTAGGAAGGACAGAGTGGGGGTGGGGAGCAAGTCGACTGTTTAAAGCCGGTGTGGGCAGTTGGGAGTCACGTCCCTGCCACGCTGGCTCACGGGGCAGACCCCACCCACCCCCACCCCGCACGCAGACCCTGAGCCTTGCTTCTGTGTCCCCTTAAACACTGTCCATGCTGCACCCGGCCATGAGGCCACGAGGACTGTCCCTTCAGCTCAGGCTTTCAGCTCCCCCTGCGGCTCCTGGTGTCCAGGTGGAACCTTCTGGATGCAGGGCCCCGGGAGCTGCCCAGAAAGGGAAGGGCATGGGCTTGACCCTGCCAGTTCACCCCAGGGAAAGTGAGGGAAAGGGAATGAGTGGGCGGGCTCCCTCATCCCCAGCCCCCTGCCGCAGCTGCTCTGACCCCCAACCCTCAACGGTGATTCTGTCCTGGGTAGTTGGAGCCGCAGGGTGTCCTTACCTTCACAGCATAGTAGTGCACCCCGTAGGTAGGGAGAGACTCCACCACACTCATGTAGCTGCGGAGAGAAACGCAGGCATGGGGGGCGGTTACTGGCACTGGGGAGCTGCACGCTCTATGTGTGCACGTGTGTGTTTGCACAGCGTGTGCACACATGCGTTTACACTGTGTATGCACACATTATCTCTGTCTGTGTGTTCACACTCTGCATGCGTGTGCGTGCATGTGTATTCACACTGTGTGTTCATACCGTGTACCTGTGCATGCATGTGTATCAATGTGTGTATGTGTGCACGTGTGTTTACACTGTATGCATGTGTATGCATGCATATCTGTGTCTGTGTGTTCGCTCTGTGTGTTTTCACACGGCATGCATGTGTGTGCATGTGTGTGCGTGTGTATTCACACCATGTACCTGTGCATGCCTGTGTATGAACTTGCGTATGTGTGCACATGTGTTGGTTCACACCATGTATGTGTGTGCTGTGTGCATGGTCTGATTGTGTGCATGTATGTTTACATTGTGTGTCCACGTGTGTTCATGTTTTGCGCGTGTATTATATGTGTTCATGTGTGTTTAGACTGTGTGCACATGTGTGTGCACGTGTTCACACTATGTGCACTGTATTCGTGTGTGCATGTGTGTTCATACTGTGTGTGTGCGTGTGTGTATGTGTGTGTGTGCACGCCAATGCCTATGTAAGAGGAAGTTCTCAGGATTCTTCACTTGAAAATGTAACCCGCTGGGGGTCCATGTCCCCCAGGAACTGACCTCCTGGACAGTGGCCATGCTTCACAGCCCTGGGGAAGGGGACACTTACTTGACAATCGCTTGCCCTCGGGTCTGGCCAATCAGCTTCTTGTAGTGCTCGATGACCCGGTCCTCACTAGGATCAAAGCACAGGCCTGTCATGACTGTCCCCGGGCCGTGGCCACCGTCCTCCCTGAAAAAATGATTTGTGCTCCGGGGACATTTCCAAATTCAGCTGCAGTGAGAGCCTGTGGGGTCTGGATTTAATGGGAAACAGCAACAAAACTTCTCCCTGGGGACCCACTTTCCTTTCCTCCAGACTCGAGATGAATGAACAGACTCGATCCACTGCAGGGGAGCAGCGAGGGAGGGAGGAGGAAGCCGGGAGCACCCCCTGTCGGTGGGGGGGGGTGACCCGGTACCCTGTGGGGACCCAGTTCTGCCAGCGGCCCCCTTTCGCTTGAGAAGAGCAGCCCAGCCAGCGCTGCCAGAAACTCCTGGGTCCATTCCTCCATTCCACGGGGGAGCTGGAAGGAAACCCTGGACACTAGTCAGAAACATTAAATGGGACCAGATTTTTTTTTCACGGGTCCCCCCCCCTCCCGATCAGGAACATGACACCACCGGGACCCAATCGCTTGCCCTCGGGTCTGGCCGATCAGCTTCACAGTTTAGGAAGCTCGGATGGTCCTGCGACTGGAAAGGCCTTCCACGCAGGGTCCCACAGAACGTGCCTTAAACGTCTGATTATAGCATGTTTCACTGGTGGGACAATGGGCTTGCAGACAGATTTCCTCGGGCCAAGGGGGTTACAAAAGGGAAAAACGTAAGACTCCTTGCCCGTGCTCCTGGCTGGTTTGAAGTTTACTGGGCTTGGGAGACAGGGCACCTGCCCTCAGAACATCACGCCAGGCCCCCAGTCGCCAATGTGGCTCACGGGCCAGTGCTGCTGCCTGCAGGCCTGAGTTCAAGCCTGGGCACCGCATGGTCCCCAGAGTACCAACTGAGTGTGGCCCTAGCGCCCTGGGCTGGACCCACCAAGCGTGGCTCCTGTACCACGAAGTCCCCCCTTCCCACCCCCTCCCCAGCGTTCTGAGCAGCGGGCAAGCGGGAGGGCCGGTGCGCATTGCTCTGGCCACAGAGGCTCACAGGAAAAGGCCCAGGACATGTGGATCACGAAAGGAAGGCGCCACGCCAGGACGAAGGGGGCATACGGCCAGCGGAGGGCATGGAGGGCACATGGGAGCAGCAGAGGAGGTGAAATGCCTGGGGTAAGTAGAGACAGAGTATGAGGGGAAACTGTCTGCCATGGAGGCAAGGGGAGGCCTGGGATCGGGGGTTGGGGAGGGTCTGAGGACATTGGAGGTGGAAGGTTGCACTGGTGGAAGGATGGGTGTGCGATCACTGTATGGCTGAATCTCCAACATGAAAGCTTTGTCACTGTACCTCATGGTGATTCAATTAAAAAAAAAAGCAATGTGGATTTCATTCATACACAATTCAATCAGCTAATCAATGGCTGAATAAACAGCAGTGCTCCTACATTAAAAAAAAATAAAACAACAACAAAAAACACTTGAGGACAAATGAATGCGGGGAGTTCTGGAGTCTGGCTCTGACCGTGGGTGCCCCACCCTGGCAGCATCCCTTGGAAAGTGTCCCTCAGCCAAGAGCCCCTGGTCTCTGGACTTGGTGCTTCTCTCACTCTTTCCGCATCGGGGTTCTAGAAGGATCTGGAAGATGAGCTCAGGGAGTGCAGGAAATTGGGGAGCAAGTGGGGGGGGGGTTCCCTGAGCAGGCCCAAGAGACCAGCTTCTGTTGCTGCTCAAGGGGCTGGCGACCGGGCTGCAGACAGGCACCTGCCGAGAACCAGACGCCCTTTTGGATGCTCTTTTGGGGGGCAGGTTCTAGAGATTAGGAACCCCCACTTAGGGAGCAGAGGAGGAGCTCTGAGCCTCGGCATGGGGCTCCCTCACTGCGGTCCCCTGGGGAGAGATGAACAGTGTCCAGGGAATCCCTGACCCTGTCCTCGGGGCCAAGACAAGCCTCCTCTCTCCCGCCTCATGATTCCCTGAGCGACCGGCCAGGAGCTGGGCGTGGGGCAGAGTCTGGCCAGACGGGAGCACTTAGGGAGTGCCCATTTCCACAGCCTTGTGGGGAAGGCTTCAAAGGGCCTGCAGTCTCGTCCTTCCGGCTCAGCTAGTTCTGTGAGTTCATCTGTCTTTTCATAAAAGCAGCCACCAGAGTACTTTGGAGCCTAAAGGGGTATCAGAGAAGCATCACATGCTTTCCAAGGATGGAGGGTGGGGAAGCCAGCGGCGTTTCAATCCCCAGCACCCCCAGGTGGGCACCCCTGCATGCCCACCCGGAGGTTCATCCAGAGCTGGTCACTCATCAGGCCCCAGCCAGCGGTGGACCAGGGCAGCAGCCAGGAGCATTGGCCCTACCTCCACAGCCTTACACGGCCTGCCAATGACAAGGACCCCCAGAGGGGTTCCAGCCGCACAGCAAGGCCCCCCGGAGGGCTGAGCACAGCAGGCGTTCCCGAGGAGTCAAGGGCAGAGAGGAAATGGGGAAAGGAGTGTGCCCACACGTGCTGCATGACCCACATGGGCAGGAAACACGACTGTTGGCTCAGCGCTGCCGACCCGGCCTCCCACACGCCCAGAGGTCCCCACTTACCAGTAGGCGAGGGAAGGGTGCTCCTTCAGGACCTGAGTGGGCAGGGCGGGCAGCTTCTTCAGGTCACTTCTCACGCCTTCATTGCTGCAAGCGGGGGAGGGTGGAGTGAGGGGGGTCAGAGGGCAGAGGGCCAGGGGCCCCCTCTGAGGACATCAGGGTCCGACTCCCACACCTGACCCTCTTGAATGAAATGGAGGCGAGAGGCACATTGATGCCCCCTCATTTTGTGGAGTTTTGTTTTGTTTGGGGGCCACACCTGGCAATGCTCAGGGGACCAAATCTGGTGCCAGGGATGGAACCCGGGTCGGCCATGTGCAAGGCAAGTGCCCTCCCTGCCGTGCTATCGCTCCAGCCCTGGGTCCCCTCAGTTCTTTATTTAGCACAGAGAGAAAAGCAATGTGGACTGTGGGAAGGATCGAGTGGGAGGGGGTCCCTGAGGCACCAGAACAGAATCCCCCCACCCCCTTTCTCCTGGAGGGCCTCAGCGTCCCCATCACCGCCTGGTGCCTCTGCTGAGATGGACCATGGGGTGAAGCTGCTTCCCTCAAAGGATGTCGACGCCTGCAGGTGATGAGGCCAGGAAGTCCCAGCCTGTGTGCGGGGTGCACTGGCCCTGTCCCAACAAGCGCAGGGCTTGGAGGTGGTCACTGAGAGCAGCCATATGAGGCCGCGCTGTTGCACTGGCCTTGCATGGGGTGGGCTCGAGGCAGGGGCCTCTCCTCATCTCAGGCGCCATGAAGCATGGACCGCGGCCACGGTCTCCTGAGGAAAACTGATTCTGAGCAAGAATCGGAAAGACGGCACCGAAAGCATCTGACGGGACAACTCAGAAAACCCATAATGTTCTTGTCTGTCTGCCAGTCCGTGCGTGTATCCCTCCTCTCTCTCTCTCTCTCTCTCTCTCTCTCTCTCTCTCTCTCTGTGTGTGTCTCTCTCTCTGTCTCTCTCTCTCCCCCCTCTCCTCCACCTTCATTCTTTTTGTTCTTTTTGGTTTTTGGGTCATACCCAGTGATGCTCAGGGGTTATTCAGAAATCATTCCTGGTGGTGCTCTGGGGACCATAAGGATGCCAGGGATCAAACCCAGGTCGGATGCATGCAAGGCAAACGCCCTCCCCACTGTCCTACTGCTCCAGCCCCACTGTTTGTCCTCAAAAAATGAGGAAATGGGGGTTGGAGGGATAGCACAGCGGGTAGGGCGTTTGCCTTGCACATGGCCGACCTGGGTTCGATCCCCGGCGTCCCATATGGTCCCCCAAGCACCGCCAGGAGTAATTCCTGAGTGCAGAGTCAGGACTAAGCCCTGAGCATCGGTGGGTGTGTTCCAAAAAAAAAAAAAAACAAAAAAAATGAGGGAATGTTTTGCTCAGGAGATTCTGCCATGGTCCAGAGAGATGTTGGGGATTTCGAGGGAAGCCTGCAAGCCAACAGGGGAAGTTGCTGGATCACCCTTGGGGATTGACTGACTGTGAGTTAACAAGGAACCCCAGAGAGCTCAGGACAGACTGAACAAACTCACCTCCAGTCCCAGGGACTGGAGTCAGTCCTGAGCTCCTGTACAGAGCAGAAGCCAAGCTCTCCTGGGCACAGGGATTTCCAGAGCAAAACTTCAGCATAAGGCAAAAATGTGCCTCTTCATCCACGGTGCCCAGGCCCCCCAGCTCTCGGGGACCAGCTCTCTCCATCTGGCAGGAGACCCCTCCCTGCCTGTTTAGGCAGCAGTCCACGAATCCAGAATCCCGGAGACGGATGAGTAAGGGATGGCAGAGTTTACTCTTCGATCATTTTTCAAACCAGGTAGGGAAACACGAGGGGGTAAGTCCTGTGACTTTCTAATACATGTGCCAACTATTAAAACATGTAAATTTTTAGAATTTAAACACTTAGAGTTGCTGCCATGTAAACAACGGCCCAGCTCCCTGGTTTCACGACTAATCTCAGAAGAGGTGCGAGCCAGGCAGCTAAAAGTCATGGGGACACCGGTCTTCGGGCTGAAAACTCTTGGGCGCCCTTGGGACAGGGATGGGCCAAGTCCCTGCCCTGCGGAAGCCCTGGCAGCTGGCCCCACACCCCACAGTTGCCACCATGTTCACAATTTCACAGCTTCCTCACTCATCTCTGCAGACACACATGACAAAAATTCTAGTTTGGGGTCTGAAAACTGCATCTTGGAGTGGGGGCCTGCAGTCTCCACCCTGAGCCCCCTATAGTGCTGGAAGTCCCAGACACCTCCCCCAGAGCCCAGTCACTGCCATGTAAACAATGGCACAGCTCACAGCTTCATGACTAATCTTGGAAGAGACTTAAGTCACTGAAATGCACTGGCCCAGTTCTGCAGATCTTGATGCTCTCGGATTATGTGGCCCTGTGTGTGGCCACAGACTCCAGTTCTGTAACACTGATGGGCCCAAAGGCACACTCAAAATTAGATGGGAAAGTTGCACAGGAACCAACTAAGTTCAATAAACAAAAACACTAATAGGGAAGGTTCAACTAGCAAGAAGCAGTTCAGGAAACCCTCCGAATATGACTTTAATGACCCCAATGGGAAATATAATAATTTTCACAAATTTTCTTTCACTGAAGTATTTTTAGATAATTCCACTAGTTATTCAGTTGTAACAAGCAATACAAAATAAATTATTTTAGGGGCTGGAGTGATAGCACAGTAGGTAGGGCATTTACCTTGCATGTAGGTGTTTGCCTTGCATGTGGCTCACCTGGGTTTGATCCCTGGCATCCCATATGGTACACCCGTGTACCACCAGGAGTTAATTCCTGAGTGCAGAGCCAGGAATAACCCTGACCATTGCTGGGTGTGACCTCCCTAAAAAAACCCCTTAAAATAAATTATTTAGTGCGCCTGCACGGCAAAGCCTGGCATGCTACCTATGATGTATTCGATATGCCAAAAACAGTAACAAGTCTCACAATGGAGACATTACTGGTGCCCACTTGAGCAAATCGATGAACAATGGGAGGACAGTGCTACAGTGCTACAGTGCCTACTAAGGGGGAAGGATTGTGTGGAAAACTGGGGATGAGGTTGGGGGGAAGGGCACACTGGTGGTGGGATGGGGATGGAACATTAAATGCCTGAAACAACTGCACTGTGAACAACTCTGTAAACCGTGATGTTTAAATAAAGTAAAGATGAATACATTTAAAAATGTAATAAATGTAATAAAAAAGAGATAAAAGTAGCACAGCGGTAGGGCACTTGCCTTACACGCAGCCAACATGGCCGACCCGAGTTCGATTCCTCTGCCCCTCTCGGAGAGCCCGGCAAGCTACCGAGAGTATTTGATATGCCAGACACAGTAACAACAAAGTCTCCAATGGAGACGTTACTGGGTCCGCTCGAGCAAATCGATGATCAACGGGAGGGCCTTTACTACTTTACTTTTACTCTGTTTGTAATTTGAGACACTAGTTTTAACCAGCTAGCCCAGGACATGCAACTGATCATACTTCTACAATATACCCCTGACCACGGAATCCCAAGCAGCTCAATCACGGCCCTTTTTACTTGTACAAGGTCAACGCAAAACCTGATGCTTACATGCTGAAGCGACAAGAGGAACTATCACAACACCAAACTTCCTCTCATCGTAGCTAAACTATTCCCACAGGGCATTTCCCTGAAGCATCTTCTTCATTTTGTTCTCTGGGGACTGGCCACATGTGGCTGGGTTTGGGACTTACTCCTAGCTCTGCTCAGGGGTCATTCCTGGCAGGGTTTGAGGGGGTCCAACAGGGTCTGCCTCATGGAAGGACATGCCTTAATCCCTGTGCTCTCTCTCTAGTCCAGAATGATTTCCTGTAAAATTCCATCTGAGTACCTGTCTTTGCAGAGGTGAATTTTTCAACTTGCAAAACTTAACAAAAAGAACTTTTGTGCACAAAACAAAGCTTTCTGGAACAATCTGTAATTGTCCCACACCACTATGTTAGTTCAAAATTTCAGATTCTGCTCCTCCCAAAAAGTCTTGCAATCTGAAAGATGCCAGCTGCTTATCCCTAAATGTTCCTTGTAAAATCATGTAATATATGAGATCATATTAATTTTAATTCTCCCTTTTTCTGGGCTCACAGAGTGTTTCAAGTTCAACAGAGGGAAACCCTTTCCTGTTTTACTAGACATTCCCCCAAATGTGCAAGTTAGGGTGTGAAAGATACTATTAGGTTATGTAAACCATATTCCAAATGTTGACTAATCTAAACACAACTGTCTGAATGGGTTCTTTTTTTAAACTAATTATCTAAAGTCTCCAAAAATCTACTTTTCTTACTTTTTGACTAGTAGCAGCTGTTTTCTTTCACGAGGCCAGTCAAGACTGTCAGAAAATATCCCCCCAAAGATGCTGTAATAATGATTTAAAACTGAGCTCAGTTGAAAGCGTTATCTATTAAGCCACGTAGGTTGGTGCAAAGAATTGATTTTAGGGATCATGATTTCTTGATGGCCGTTTGAGATGAATCAACTTTTGAGGTTGCTGGCTGGGCAAGAAGATTAGATTACCCCCCATTTTTGTGTTTATGGCTCTAAACATGCCCTGTACATGGAAATCGGTTGTTTACCGATGAGTTCTCCTAAATTTTCTTCTAAAATTCTTGCTTCCACTTAGGATTGTCTGAAAGGGCAATGGCCTAGAATGATGAGAGGCTGGCCCGGAATTCTCTGGGTCATGGAACAGTCCTCTATAAACACTTCAAGAAGATAGTGCTGACTTCAAACAAAGAACAAAAGAAATCTAAAAGGTTAATTTTTGTTTGGTCCCAGAAATTTCATTTTATCTTTCTAGCCCAGAGAACACCGAGTCCCCTGGTTTATAGAAGACTCAGAGCTACAAAGGTCTTTAGTCTCTAGTCTTAGCTAACTTCTCTCCCTGAGCCCTAGGAATGTGTAGTGGTGAAAGTTAAAAAATTTTTTTTACAGCACAAATAAATACTGATTCCTCTTCTAACAAAGGGTGGCAGCTCATTTCTGTTGAATAATGCCTGGTTCTGTTTCTAAAAGCATATTTTATTTCATTTTAGACTTAAAATGGGAGGTTGTTAGCTCAGAAACACGGAGATTCTTTTTTTTTTCTTTTTTTCTTTTTGGGTCACACCCAGCAATGCACAGGGGTTACTCCTGGCTCATGCACTCAGGAATTACTCCTGGCAGTGCTCGGGGGGCCATATGGGATGCTGGGTATCAAACCTTGGTCAGCCGTGTGCAATGTCCTACCCACTGTGCTATCACTCTGTTCCCATCATGGAGATTTTCTTACCCATCGCTCAACTCTGGTGAGCAACAGACACTCTCCTATGGACAGGCAGCACTTAACTTTAAACAGAGGGCCTGACACCCTTCCAGGGCCTTCCATGCACACACCTGGCACTGGGCGCAGGGAAGGAAGACGTGCCTCTGGAACTTTCCTCCCACTGGCCTTGTTGAGGTGTGATTTGCTTACTGGCCCCAGTACTGCTCAGGCTGGAGGCCCATTTCAATGCTCTGCCTGTGGAATAAAAGCATGTCCAGGGCCCAACACAGAGGAACTGAGCTCTGGCCGTGTTTCAATACACCAAGTTCGGAAAAGATGTGTTTAAGCCATGCCCATCGGTGTTGGGATGATTCTTCATGACCAAGCAGGAGCGTCAATCTGATGATTTAGTATCAAGGAGATATATATATATATATATATATATATATATATATTGCTTTTTAAGTCACACCCAGTGATGCACAGGGGTTATTCCTGGCTCTGCACTCAGGAATTACTCCTGGCAGTGCTCAGGGCACCATATGGGATGCTGGGAATCAAACCCAGGTGGGCTGCATGCAGGGCAAATGCCCTACCTGCTGTGCTATGGATCCAGCCCCGGTATCAAGGATTTTTGAATCAATTCACCCACTCGGTTACCCTCTGTTAATGTCAATGGAATGGAACTGTGTGAAATGTTGGCAAAATGTTGTTGAAAGTGATCGGCATTGGGGTGGGCTGTGGGAGTGTATAGTCTCCAGCAGCTCTCCCCCTTGCCTCCCAGGGTTCAGTGGTCTCAGGCCGCTCCCCCAGCTGGTGGGAGTAACACACACTTTCAGGAATAATAGCAGGGTCAGGGGAAAGGAAGCGGAGTGACTGTCAAAGTTAGAGCAGAGACATGGCTGTTGGGATTTCACTGGGTCCCTGACACCAGAGTCTCGCAATCTTGTTTCTGAATGTGACCCCTTCCGAATTTGCTCCTGTCCTAGTCCTCCTGGCTGCCCCCTGAGTTTTAGGTCTCAGCTCCCCAGTCACATGCTTTTGGCTCTAAATGCTTGTAAAAAGAAAAGGCCACTGCTCATGGCTGGCCATGTGGCAATGGCTGTGAGAACACATGGCAGTCCCTGGACCGCACACTGGCTAAGAGATGTCCAGCAGGGATTCCGGGCTGAGGGCTTTCCTTGTTACTCTCTGTCCACCCTTTGCACGCTAGTATTGGCCTCGTTAGACACCATGGCTAAGAGCCCTGGGGCTCTGGTTGTTGTGAAATAGAAATGCCAACTTCTCAGGTGTGTGGATCGGTAGGGACACGCGTCTCTACCCCCCCACCACCATACACACACACACACACACACACACACACACACACACAAAGAAGAGAGCCACTGGCTGTATTCTGCACTGAGGAGGATAACGAGAGGAATAAAATAGTATTTGCAGATAAAACTATGTCCTAAACCTGGGGCCGAGGAGATGGTGCAGAGGGTAGAACGTTGGCCTTGCACACAGCCAACTGGGTTCAATCCCCCGCATTACACATGGTCTCTGGAGCACTGCCAGGAATAATCTCTGAATGCAGAGCCTGGAGTGACCCTGAGCACTTGCTGGGTGTGACTCCAAAACCAAACCAAACCAAACCAACCCCTGACTATGTTCTAAGCCTATCCCCAGCCCTAAGCTAAGGTCAGCTACCTCAGAAATGTGGAAGAGGACATACGCTGCTTCTCATCTTGAGTGATACCCTTCATCCCGAGGCCTCAACTGTTTTCTTTCCATGATGCTGAATCAAACATTCCCTAAACAGTTTCCCTGAGATACCCGAGTAAGCTTTTCCGTCAATGGGAAAGCAAAGGGGGTTATGTAAGAAGGGCCATCAGGGGTCTGTTGAGTAAAAAGAGAACCCCAAAGAAGAAACGGAACGGCCTGTGAGTTTCACAAGAAAAAGCATTTCTGGGGATTCTTATATATAGAGCTCTCCTCCCAGGAAAGTCGACCAGCACTTTGAGTTCTGCCTTCCTGTTTTTGCTGTTTTGGACCATCTCCAATGGTGCTGGGGGAGGGGTGTCCCTCTCATGGGTGCTGAGGGAGGGGCTGTGAGGTGCCAGGGAATGACACATGCCTGCAGAGCGTGTGCTCCAACCTGCTGGTGACTACAGCTGATAGATTCCTAATACTCATTCTAGAATCCCCAATCCCATTAAAAAGTAAATAAACAGGCTAACGAGTTCGATTCCTTCGCCCCTCTCGGACAGCCCGGCAAGCTACCAAGAGTATTCGATATGCCAGACACAGTAACAACAAAGTCTCCAATGGAGACGTTACTGGGCCCGCTCGAGCAAATCGACGATCAACGGGAGGGCCTTTACCTTACCTTACCTTACCTTAACAGTGTGGGGACGAGGGAGAATATAAATAAAGCGGCCAGTGGCTTGGGAGACAGGGAGAAATCCTCTAGGAACTCACAAATTCAAGACTGGTTAGAAAAGATTTCCTCTGTCTTTTGTGTTAATTCAAAGGTTAGCGAATCTTCTAAATTCTAGAGGATCTTATTATTTCTGTTGCTGTTGTTTTTGTCTTTGGGCCACACTGCAGTTCTCAGGAATCACTCCCAGCAGGGCCCAGGAGACTGTATGGGACGCCAGGAATTGAACCCGGGTAGATTGTGTGGAAGGCAAATCCCTTACCTGCTGGACCATTGCTTCAGCCCACTAGCGGGTTTTAGGATTGAGCCCTGGATGAAATCATTCCCATCATACCATCTGTTCTAGTCAGACCTCTCATTTTACTTGTGCTGTTCAGGAAGAAGAATTGGGTTTGCCGGTACGTACGCACGGCAGAACCTTCCAGTTGGATATGATGATGGCGTTGGTGTAATCCTGCACTAGTTATTAACCAGCAAGAGCGACTTATTCCAGGAGCCAGAGAGAGTATGGAAATTAGGGCATATGACTTGCATGCGGCTGCCCCCAGGCATGAGCATCACAGAGTATGGCCCAGGGTGGCCCAGGCAGTGCCCAGCAGCACAGAAGCCGAGCATCACTGCATCCTTGGACCCTCACATTGATCCACCGCGGCCTCGTTGCTTGAAAAGCACCAAGGGGAATCCCCTCCTCCCAAACCCGGGGCTTCCTGAGCACCGCTTGGGAGGTACCCTCCCCCCAAGAAAAGTAACCTAGGGTAACACCGAAGGATGAGAACAGGGTGTCAGAAGTGCTGACTGTTCAAACCACATTTGTCTGCTGACATGAAACCAAACGTGTTCCCTTCAGTGTCCGGGAAACTTCCCCCACGAGAGGGACGGTCTAAGTGGAGAATTATTTCTTACTCCCAGCTCTGCATATCTCCCTGGTTGTTTGATGGGAGGGGGTGCTGGTGGGGGGTCCTGCTGTGGCCGTGATTGTGGGCCTGGCAAGTCTCCAGACAGGGTCTGGCTTCTCCTTCCCCAGTTCGTGCGCTCCCTCTCGGCTGTGGCCCGGCTGGCCTGGCCGTGACAAATGCAGCCAGAGCAGAAGCATTTGTTTCTGGGAGAGGGCTGGCATTCCCTGAGTTCGTGGGGGGCCGCGAGTTGCTGGGGGGCCCTAGCCTTGATCCCTGTGTCCAGTTCCCATGATCTGCGGGTGAAATGACGCAATGGGGAGTTCATGTTCCTGCCCATCAAGGGGACTCGTGAAAATAAATACTACTGGGAGCGCGATTGGGGGCTGAGAGAGGGGGGTGGTGGAGTCTGCCCAAAGGCCAGGACGGGGGGGATCTGGGGGCTGGCCAGTGAAACCTCCCTCTGCTGATAGAAGCCTGAGCTCATCAAAACCCCCTGATTCCAATGCCACGGGAAGGGCAGACAAAGGCCCGGCAGGACAAAGCGCTCACTGCAGTTTCGCTCTGTTGAAAGTCTCATTCATGGCCAGTTATCAGCCACTGAGAGTCAAGGTCGCAGGCCAAGGCTCTGAAAAGGCAGATCTTTCCCTCCAACCACACCTGCCCCCTAAATGGGCTCCCTTCCTCTACTTTACACCACAGAATGTGGAAAACCTAAGAGGGGCAGAAGACCCCCTTATGCAAATATTCAAACTGAGCCAGAGGGATCACCCCTACCACCCACCCACCCACCTTATAAGCTAAGAGTGGCTTTTGCATTTCAAGGCGTAGGGAAATACACAAGAGGAATAATATTTCACTGCACAGGCAGTGGCAGCTTATTGGTTGTAACTGAAGTTTGTGGGGATCTGGCCACACTCATTCATGCAGCAGCAACCCCTCCCCCCAATGGCCTGGAACAGGTTTTGGGCTCCTGAGGGAGTTCTGGCAACGTGGCCTGTGGGGCCTGCAGCGTGAGATGTGCTGGGAGTCTGTCCTTCCCAGAAAACGGTGGCCCACCCCTGTTTCAGCTAGGAAAGGAATTCTTCTGTTTTGCTGAACTGAGGAGGAAGAAGCGCCTCAAGCTTTGTTAGGACAGTGTAGAAATGCACCAAAGCAGCAGACAGGCACCAGTTCGAACCCCGCACCCCAGAGCCCCACCAGGAATGATCCCTGAGCACAGAGCCAGAAGGAAACCCTGAGCACCACCAGGTGTGGCCCCAGAACAAAAACAAAACAAAACCCAACAGAAATGCAACAGAATACATTTTTAAAGCAAAATTTAAAAAAAAAACACTTTTTTTTTCTTTAAAACTCACCTAGAAAAATCCCCTTTTGCTTCCTGTAGAAGAAAAAAAAGTGACATCAGGGACGTATTGCAAATATGTTAGGAACTTCCAAATACACCCTTTATTCAGGACAACTCTGCCCGCCCACCCTCTTCCATGCCCCTGGTGCCCATCACACCGCACTGGACTGACAAACTTCAGTCCCAGCCACAGCTCCTCCTGCTCCAGGGACACGATTAACAAAGGACATTGCGCCTCTGCCCCTAGATCCCAAGAGACAGGCCGAGAAGTCGCCTCAGTGACAAGACGCCGGTTCCCAGCTCTTGGATCCGCTGTGGCTCTTCCCGGCTTGCAGAGTCTGAATCCGTGTCTGGGTGGGACCTTCTCTCTTCTCTGGCTTTTTCTTAGACTTTGGGCTATTTCCCAACTGGGCTGAGGGACTCTGGTGGCTGGGACAGTGGGGGACAGGCAGGGAATCTGGTATATGCACCCCCCCCCCCCCATCCCGCTCCTGTCCCCAGTCACCTGGGCGTAAATGGGTTGCAATATGCCCTTTACCACCCCTTGCGGAGGCCCTGGCCTGCATCCATGTCCCCTTCTCACACCAGCTCGGCACCTATTTGTCGGGGGCTGGGAGGCCATCCTCCGGCCACCCCCTTACTATCTGAGGGACAAAGGGGCCACCTCAGGCAATCGTGTCCTTGTGCTCAGTGGCCCCACCAGGTCCTCTGTAATGACACTACACATGGCAGAGGGGCCTGGATTCACGGAACTGCAGACGCGCGGGCAGAGTGTGGGCCGCAGACGGAGTCTGTCCCTCATGTACATAAAGCTCAGGATTCGGGGGGAGTGTGGCACCCACTCACCTGTAGGATATAGGAGGCCAGCTCGAATACCACGTCACTGTCCACGTCGATGAGCTCCTGGAAGAAAACCAACACAGATGGTCAGGCCAGTGCTGCAGTGACCACACCGGAGGATGGGCCCCCAAACGAGCCTGAAGACTTCAGAATCTCACCCCACAAGAACCCATTTCTGGTCTCCGAGGCAACTTCTCTGCACCCCTCACCCCTGGCGATCCCTGGCAGCCCTTGAGCCTCACTGTCCTGCTACCAGGGATCTGGAAAGTTCCGAGAGCAAAGAAAAGCAGGAGGCGCTCATCAATTCATCGCTGCAGTACCCGAGCATCAGTGGTCTTTGCTTCGTTGACTCCATTTCAGAACCAGGGGGAATTGTTCACGGAAGGAAATAGTCACTGTTTAAGGGACATTAAAAACGCAGTTCCTAGTGGCCCCTGGCCACCTTCTTTCCTGCCGAGGCTGTTGGTTGCCAGAGCAGAGCCAACACCAACACTCTCTTTTGACAGAGAGACCCCTGCTCAGCCCTGCTCCAGGCTCAAAACCACCTCTGCGCTCTCAGTTCTCTCTCTGCCCACCCCAGACCTCACTGGGCTCTGGGGAACTGGTGGTCGGGGAAGGATCTACATTTCTCTTAGGTTTAGGTTTTCAAAGGAAACACCCAACACGCATAGATTTCAGAGTTCCTTTCTCTTTTCATAAAACACAGACGCATGAAGTTACCAGTTGTGGGCCCAAAGCTGTGTGCTGGGGGTACAGGGGTGCATACAGTGGGATTCGATTCCCAGCACCACCAGGAGCATCCCCGGGGACCCCCAGCACCTCCACGTGACCTGGGATGTTTTCTGCCTTGACCACCACCCATGAAGCGATGAGAGGGCGTCAGGGCTGTGGAGAGATGATGCAAGCTAGCAAGCTCCACCTCCTCGGACCCTGATGTTGGGAATCGTGGGTGGGTCCCCAGAGCCTCCTGAACACCACTTAGGAGCACCCCCAAAGCAAACAAACCCATGGGTCCTGAATGTATCACCCGGTGAGTCAGTTGTGTATGGGCACCCCAGTGGGTTTCCATCAACACTCCCAGTAATAAAGATCCCATCCACGCTCTCCCAAATGTCCTGAGCCCCTTTATGTTGTTTGATTTGGTCTATTTTTTGGGGGGCAGACCACACACCCCCAAAGATCTGCTGCCCCAAACATGCAAACATTTCCACCTGGCGGGAGATCTGGGCCGAATGAGTTTCTGTTTAACCAACTAGTGGGCAGTGACTGTCAGGCACAGCCTTCAAAGTAGACAGTGATTGTCAGGAAACAGCCTTCTGAGGGTGCAGTGACTGTCAGGCACAGCCTTATAAGTGGGCAGTGACTGTCAGGAAACAGCCTTCTGAGTGTTGAGTGACTGTCAGGAAACAGCCTTCTGAGTGTTGAGTGACTGTCAGGCACAGCCTTCAAAGTGGACAGTGACTGTCAGAAACACCCTTCTGAGTGGGCAGAGACTGACAGGAAACAGCCTTCTGAGTGAGCAGTGACTGTCAGGTTCAGCCTTCTAAGTGTGCAGCGACTGTCAGGAAACAGCCTTCTGAGTGTGCAGTGACTGTCAGGAAACACCCTTCTGAGTGGGCAGTGACTGTCAGGCACAGCCTTCAAAGTGGACAGTGATTTTCAGGAAACAGCCTTCTAAGTGGGCAGTGACTGTCAGGCACAGCCTTCAAAGTGGACAGTGACTGAGAGGAAACAGTCTTTTGAGTAGGCAGTGACTGTCAGGTAACAACCTTCTGAGTGGACAGTGCCTCAGGTTCAGCCTTCTGAGTGGGGCCGCAGCGCCCGAGTCCAGCTCACCTGCTAGGGGGAAAGTCTGCCTCAGGATGGGAGTGGCAGGGGAAGCAGGCAGTCTCTGTTGGTATTTAGACTCCGTGGCCTGCCAGGCCAGGCCTTGCCAAGTGATAATGTGGCCTACAGCGTGTGTGCTCAGATGAATCTGAGTGGAACTTCAGGAATGGCCTGAATCCGCGTCTAACCTGCTGATCCACGTTTCCTGGCATCAAACCCGTCCTTGGCCGCCCTCCGCAGCAGCGGGACACCTATTGACATGTGTGTGTGTGTGGGGGGCGCCAGTGAAGTGATGAGAAACAGTGAGTGAGCTGCAAGAGATGGCGCATGCCAGGCATGCAGGAGGCCCTGAGTTCACCCCCAACCCTGCACGTGACCCCAGGAACAGCCAGGTGTGGCCTCCCGTCCTGAGGCCACACAGCAGTGACTGGGTATTGCCAGAGTGGCCCCCTTGACCCCAGACACTCCCTGAAGAAGCCAGTTGGGACACGGAAAGGGAATCCCACAGGCCGGGGACCTGGCTGCTCTCCTGGGAGCCATGATGATAACTCAGAGCTGGCCTCCGGCCCCTAGTAGGCTCCGTTCCTCTGGCCTCACTTGCTGCCAGCTTTTCCTACATCGAGGCCCTTTATATCTGTATCTGGACCCCCTCATATGCATGTTCATGTGGGCGGCTGCCAGGGCCCCACACACTGGGATGTCTTAGGCTGACCGGGGGTGTCCCCACTCTGAGACCCCGCACCTGGCCAGGGAACAGCCAGGGGGGCTGGAAAGGAAAATCTCCCTCAGCTCTTCTGTCCTTCCCATCCCTGGCATGGCAACCTGCCCCAAGCATGCAAGAACCCAGCGGAGAGGCAGAATATGTGTATGCGTGCGCGCGCGCGTGTGTGTATGTGTGTGTGATTGTGGGTGTGGGTGGGGGGTGGGGGGGGTCAGTGGTCTGCAGCTCCTACTCCTCCAGGCTTCTCTGTCCTGTGGGATGTGGTTCTGGGCTTCGTTTCTCATCTTCAGACGAGATGGAATCGGCCGCTCGTTAGTGAGTTCCTCAGAGATCACGGCCAAGATCACTTGATCATCAACAACAGGGGTGACGCAGAGAGGCTGCAGGCAGGGGCCTGAACTCTAAAAACAGATGAAGGTGTATCTCCGGGAAGAAGATATCCCCGCACACCTATGAACGGGAATTTGAAGCCTTTTTTTCCTTCCTCCAGGAATTGTTCTCCGCGGGTGTGTAGGCAACAAACTCAACATCCCCCCCCCCCCCCCCCCCGCAAAGTGCCTGTTCTCTGAGCTGGGGAGGAAGGGCTGGGTCCGAGTCGGCCCCATCGTGCAAGGGGAGGGATGCACGCAGGAACACAGGAGGCTGCCAGCTCGGCCGATTCAGACCCTCTGAGCCGAGGCTGCAAGGCCTGTTCCTCTGGTTCTTGTTGACTGTGGAAGGATGTTGTTGGTGAGATAAGAGAATGTCGAATTCACGAGCCGGCAAGAGGGTAATTACATAACTGGATCAGATCCTGGGAAGGGACTCTTGGAAATCAACAGCCGGGTGGCAAAGGTGAAAAAGCCAGGGGCAGAGGCACTGTGCTACAGGGCAGGGTCCGAGAAAGGCGGGGAGAGGTGAGGGTCATGGCTGCAAAGCCAGGAGAGAGAGGAGAAACGAATGTGGGGTGCTGTGGGGCTTGGGTTTATTTTGGGGGGAGGCTACATAGACCCTAAACAAGCGCCGGCAAAGGCAGTTCTGATCTCTGGGTACAGCGAGTGAGTGTACCAGGGAAGAGTGGCGCCCCTGAGGTGGGTGAGTCGGGCACGGTGGCCCGGGTCTCCCCAGACCTGCGCCCAGCGTGGGCGCGAGCAGAGACACTAATCGGCACTTACCCATCTCGCCAGGAATTCAAAACATCTAACGGCTAAGTGGGGGCCAGCACCCGTGCCAGTGACTCAGAACCGGGGTGGGGACGTGGCGGCGGGGAGGAGAGACCTCTGTGGACCACGGTGGACGCCCCTCTCGGTTCTGCTGGGCTGGGCAGCACCGATGCCGACTTGAATTAAAACACACACACACACACACACACACACAGATGCTCTTGGCTCAGACAGTGAACGACATGGGACTTGGAGGGATTAGGAATAAAGGGTGCATGAGGCCAAGCAACTCGGGTCCCAGGCAGGAACGGCTGCTGCCCCCAAACCTCATCACAGCAGGGAAGGCCCCGGGCGGGTGCCATCTGCCTAACTTGGCTGTGGCATCTTTGAAGACTTCCAGGGGGTGAGCCTGAAGGAGGCGTGGGTGGCACCTAAAACTTCATGGCCCAGACCATGAGGGAGGGGGGTGGGGATACTGGCACTGCATGAGGGACAGTCACGTGTTACCCCCTCGTCTCCCATCATGGTGCCGGGAGAGTGAGGACTCCTTAGCCTCCGGAGAAGCTTGGGGACAGGGCAGAGGTTTTGGGACCACTTGGGCCTTGGCCTCAAGTCTTCGAAGCCCACCTGGTCTGCTGGCCGTGGGGCAAGAGAGTCAGAGGGTGCAGGCACCTGGCTAGACTCTCCAGCACTGCGTATGTTTCTCTGGTCACTTCCGAGCAGAAAGCCAGAAATATGCTCCCATCACCGGGGGCAGCCGCAGAACCAACACACAAAATAAACAGGGGCCTGTGTCTCCGCTCTGGCCTCACCCTTGGATGTTCCTTCCGTCGGGGAAGAGAAGGTTTCCCGTCTTCTCTTGGGGAAACTACGCAACTCCGGTGTGTATGGATGTGTCTGCAAACCCGCCTGTGTGTGCGAGTGAGCACACGAAGATGCTCCCACATGCTGACGTGTGCAGGCCAGGCTCACGACGGGCACCCAGGGGCCTGGTCAGGCTGGGGCTTTCCCACGGAAATCTCCGACCAGCCACACCCAAGAAGGTTCTGGAATGGTCCAGGGACCTGACTCGGCAGGTCCTCCGTGTGACTGGTCCAGATTACACCCACACCTGCATCCTGAGGCTGCCGTCTCTGCCTCTACAACTCATTCATGTCCCCTCCGTGGGAACCGTGCCGAGAAGCCCCAACTCACGCTTGCCACAGAGAGACTGTCCCCTCGTGTCCCTGGAGGCACCTTGGGATTGTCCTACCCCCCACATTTCTTTTCTTTTCTTTTCTTTTTTTTGCTTTTTGGGTCACACCCGGTGATGCTCAGGGGTTCCTCCTGGCTCTGCACTCAGGAATCACTCCTGGCAGTGTTCAGGGGACCACATGGGGTGCCGGGGATCAGACCCGTGTGGGTTGCATGCAAGCAAATGCCCTCCCCTGCTGTGCTGTCGCCCTGGCCTCCTCCGCGCTCCCCCCAATTTCTTTCCTCCTTTCCCCAATTCCCAGCTCTTTGCTGCCCGAGTCTGCCACCTGGTGGACAGCATGCCCCTTTCCTTCCAGAACTTTCCCAAAGGGTTTTCTGAGGCTGAGCATGAAACCCAGCATCAGACACAGGCCAGAGGTGTGGGGGCTTCTGTTCATGCCACGCAGAGGAAACCAGGTCCGGGGGGAGGGAGGCATTTGCAAGTACCTACAAGGACAGTTTGGGCCTTTCTCCCTGGATTCATTGTGGTCCAGGTGGGGTTGAGCCTGGTTTACGTCCGAGGTTCTGATCACCCTGAGGTCCCCCGTGGCCCTGAGCACTGACACCCGAGCTCAGTGGCCTGATTTTGTGCCACGGATGTGCCAAACAACTCCCAGAAAAGGGAGCCAGGCCAAGAGATCATTTCAGTGGTGTGTGTCTGCGTGTGCGTGTGCGTGTGCGTGTGTGTGTGTATGTGTGTGTTGGTTTTGGCTTGGAGCCACACCCAGCAGTGCTCAGGGCTTCCTCCTGCCTCTGTACTCAGGGCTCACTCCAAGCAGGGTTCCCAGGGAAGCATATGCAGTGTTGGGGATGGCACTGGGATTGACTGAGTGCAAGGCCAGCGCCCTGCCCGCTCCAGCCCTTGGAGAGTGTTTAAAGGTTTTTCAGGGGGTTGTTGTAAGACCCCAACGCTGGGTCTATTAAGTAGGAAATGGCCGAATTGTTCCAGACATTCTGGAGCAAGACCTGGGGCCTGCTCCCAGCTTCTCCTCGCTGGCCTGCAGGATGCAGAGGTGTGGGCACTAATGTATGGGCTGGGGGCAGCACCTTCTCCCTGCACTGAGTCTCAGCCTTGGGGGAGTTCTCAAGGCCCTCCCAAGGGAGGGGTGCACTGGGGATTTGTGGGGGCGTCAGGGTGAAGCCGTGAATGGAGCACCACAAGCAAATGTAGAAAGCGGGTGGGGATTGATGCATGGAAGGGACTGTCCCAGTCAGTTCAGAACTGTCCCTGAAATTGCTGTGTCTCCCAGGAAGTTGGGTGAATCTGGCATGTGAGATGTTCAGAGTCTCTCTGGCTTCTTTCAAGAGGGCACCCCCACTAGGATGGCTCATCCTTCTCTCTGACTTATGCCAAGGGGGCACTGCACCCCCACAAGGATGGCTCATTCTTCACTCTGACTTCCGTCAAGAGGGCACTGCACCGCCACCAGGATGTCTCATTCTTCTCTCTGGCTTCTGTCAAGAGGGCACTGCACCCCCACTAGGATGGCTCATCTTTATCTCTGGCTTCTGTCAAGAGGGCACTGCACCCTCACCAGGATGGCTCATTCTTCTCTCTGGTTTCTGTCATAGGGGCACTGCACACCCACCAGGATGGCTTCTGTCAAGAGGGCACTGCACACCCACCAGGGTGGCTCATCCTTTCAAAAAAATTAAGGCAGTGGCCAGAGTGATAGGACAGCAGGGAGGGCATTTGCCTTGCATGCAACCAACCTGGGTTGGATCCCCAGCATCCCATAGGGTCCCTCAACCACCACCAGGAGTAACCCCTGAGCATCATGGCGTGTGGCCCCAACAACAACGAAACAAAACAAAACAACAGCAACAAAAAATAAAGGCAGAATATGGGAAGCGAGGGAGGATGATGATGAACTGGAATCTGGATGCTGGGTTAGCAGATGTGGACATGGAGCAGTGGCTTTGTAGGAAAGAATACGGGCAGTGGCCTGTCCAAGGCTGAGAGGACAGAATCACTACTCATGGGCCACATCGCCCGAGGAGCTGGAGGCTGGGATGTCAAGAAGAGTTTCTAGCTTGGACAGGCCCAAACAGGCCCTGTTCTGGAATGTTCTTCCATCTGAGAGTGGAAGAAGACTAACATCTGTTGACATTGGGCCGACCATGAGAACACAGCTGGGGGAGACGTGTCAGCCACCAATAGGCATGGGCTAGAGGAACCGCCTGCCTGAGGTCCGGAAGGTGGTGAATTCATGGACAAAGGACAGATGGCAGGATGGCGGGACAGATGGCTGGGAGTGGGCCAGCAGTCCTGGGGTCTGAGTTTTACATGCCAGAGACCCCAGGAGGCAGACGGTGGTGAAAGTTACACAATCAGCATCTGCAGCGCACTGGATGGCCGGCCTGCCCACGTCTGAGATGGAGAGGCCATGTGGATTTTTAACACAACTAAAGGCATTTCCCCCACCCTATGCACCATAGCATTCTTCCAAGATGATGTAGCCAGAGTCCCATGAAACGGTCCAACACACGTGCTTGTGGCGGTATGTTCACCTGTATGTGACCTGTGTGCTCCTGATACTCAGGGCATGCCCGCTGCCTCTTGACGGCCAGCTCACAGCTCCCCTTCCCACGAGGCCGAGGGACCCCGCCCCAGAGCTGATACAGGCCCAGTGAACCGCGTCACACTGATGCAGAATCACCCACTCACGAACCAATCACGAGTCAGTAAAATCCACCCCCAGGCCCCATGGTCCCACAGGCAATTTCCAGCTTCAAAGGCTGCTTACGGGGCACCTGTGGGCCAGAGAAGGGGCTCACCTTGTAGATGCAGGACTTGGCATTCAGGAAGAAGAGCTCAATGGTGGCGTTGTCCTTCAGGTAGGAGATACTCTCTATGTAGAACCTGAAAGAGAAACGCCAGAGCAATATGGAGACAGCCATGCCTCACAGGGCTGTGGGCCATCCGGACTCCATGATGAACTTCTCGATCCCAGCTGACCCAAGGAGAAAGTGCCCACCAATTGCTTCCCCAGGATTTGCTTTTGGACAAAATGGGGGGTTTTCAAGTTCACTACCATCGTGCCTAAGCCAAAGACCTGGGCTGGCCAACTGTTTCCAAAAGTAAACTCAGACTTGGACACCAGAGTCTTCTTAGCCCTGTGCCCACCCCAGCTATTTCCAATGTCTTTCGCTTTCACAGCCCTTCTGCCCTGCCCACGGCAGAGCTGGACTTTGGAGGAGGGCGTGTAGGGAGAGCTGGGAAATAATCATCCTGAAGGGGGCGCTGGTGTGATTTGCCTTGTGAAACCCTGAGGAATTATTAATATTAAGGCAAATGAGAATTGGATTTTTATCTGGATGGAGCTTATAGATTTTCTTCTTCCCTGAGATGAAACATGTTGGAATGATTGGGTTTCTGTTCCGGGTGCCTTTCCCCCATCGACTGGGTGCCGATTACACCCTTTAATCAGATAAGGGCTTGTACCTGTCTCGGCATTGAGGCTCTGGGGGGACAGGAGCCGTGGGGAGGGGAGAGAGAATGGAAATGCAGTCTTGAGGGGAGGGGGCTAGGGGTGGGGGACAGCACTGGGTGACTGGAAATGGGGTGCTCCAGACAGGGGCCTCACCCCTGCGGTGAGGACCAAGGTGAGGAGAGACCAGCTTCTGGAACAGTCTGCCACGGTGATGGGGAGGGGTTCTGGGGAGCAGTTCCTGAGTTGTGAGCTGGACGCTGTTCTGTGGTGGGCAGCAAATCACCCTGTCTTATGGGATACCTCTTCCAGGTGGACAGGGGGCAGCTCCCCACCCAGAGCCCGAATGGCTTTGCAGCCATGGGGGCGATGAGTGTGGGCAAACAGGACCAGCGGAAACCATCTCTGTCCTCACTTCACCCTTGCTTCTGCCCCTTGGCTCCAAGGGTGCAAGGGGACAGTCCTGCCGGGGTGGCTTCCAGTGACCATGAGTGACCCCAATGCCAGGAACGTCATTCTGCATTTAAATCTCGTGGTCACTGAATTTCTCAATCAACATCTTCTGTCCCTGTGGCAGTTGGTAACCTGTGAGCAGTCCGGAGCAAGGGGACCGTCCACCTGCCCTGGCCCGACCATGACCTCCTTAGGAAGCACAACCCCATCTCTACTCAACTCTCAACAACGAGGACCAGAAAGGAGACAGAAGGTCCCGGGGGCCCGGGGGTCTGGCTGGGCCTGGGGCAGGAGGGGCCCGATTCTGGGAGCATCAGAAAAACATAACCAAACCCACCGCCTCCTGCCTGACACTAGTTTCCTGTGACCCCTTTTCCCCGGGCGTCTGGAAACCCCAGTGCATTCCAATCCCGCTGTGTGACTTCATTGAAGACATTCCAGAACTTTCCCTCTGTGCGGGGGAAGGGGGAGGGGACACATGCTAAGGGCCAGACACTTTGGCCGTTTGGCCCCACGTGCCCACAGGAACGGACCGCCCAGGGGTTGAGCAGGTGGACCCTCTGGGCTCCCTTGGGCGCATGCTTTGGTCTCTCTGCGCTAAGCCTGTTCTTTGCAATTCCCCCCAGCTCCTGGTCGAGTCCTCTGGTGGGCAGCAGGGGGCGATGCTGCCCTTCCATCCTGGGCTGGGGGCGTCCTCCAAAACCACACAAAGGAACGTGCCCGCCTGGGGGTGGGATGCCAGGGAAACCACAGACTTCTTCGCCCTCCAAGGGGTCTGCATGGGCAAGGCTGAGTCTGGGTCTGTCACCAAGGAGGTTTCTGAGGCTCTGACCCCTGGGGCCTCACCATGCCCAGGGACACCCAAGTCCTTGTAGCAAAATCACAAACCAAAGACTTTGGCCCTCTGCTGACCAGCCCGGGTGGCCTCCGGTGGGCCAGCCTGGCACTTCCGGATCTTCTGGGCAACTCAGAAAACGGACTTTTCTCCTGGGGTGGATTGGGGTGGGGATCCTCAACAGAGCTCGGGGGTACTCGCCACCCCCACCCCCCACTGTGGGTCTGAGGGTCCAGCAGCCTTGGGGGTCACCAGGGTCATACATGAAGTGCTCAGTGGGGCACAGAGTCTGGCCAACGTGTGGAGCCGACCTGGGTTCGATTCCCAGCATCTCAGATCCCAGAGCACCACCAGGAGTAATTCCTGAGTACAGAGCCAGGAGTAACCCCTGTACATCACCGGGTGTGACCCAAAAAGAAAAAAAAAAGTATATATATATATAAATCATAATAGGACAAGGGGATGGAAGGCAGCAGAGGAGGGCAAAGCCTTGGCCTGAGATTACAGAAACAGGAAGGCCAGGGTGGGAGAGAAGTGGAGCTGGACACAGCAGGTGCCCGGGTGTCAGGGCGCACGGTGGCAGCAACTCGCGCTGGTCCCAGACCACACAGGATGGAACTGAAAGCTGCCCCCTTGAAGGAGGGCACAGGGGTCATTGGCAGAGGGACACGGTTAGCAGTAGGACTGAAACTGGATCACATCAAGGTCGAAATCCAACCACTACCGGGGGCTGGAGCAATAGCATAGCAGGTAGGGCATTTGCCTTGTATGCAGCCAACATGGCAAACCCGGGTTCTATTCCCAGCATCCCATATGGTCCCCCCGAGCACCGCCAGGAGTAATTCCTGAGTGCATGAGTCAGGAGTAACCCCTGAGCATTGCCGGGTGTGACTCAAAAAGAAAAAAAAAAGAAATCCAACCACTACTGTCTCTGGAAGTCACAGTGCCGCCTTCACAAACAACTTCCAACAACAGCAGCGACAACACCCAGGTCCTCTGGCACTGAATGCAGTGTTCCTGAGTGCAGGGCCCCATGCTGAGTCGACCTGGTGGGGCCGGAGTGATAGCACAGCGGGTTGGGTGTTTGCCTTGCACGCGGCTGACCCGGGTTCGATTTCCAGCATCCCATCTGGTCCCCCGAGCACCACCAGGAGTGATCCTTGAGTGCAGAGCCAGGAGTAAGCCCTGAGTCCCGCCTGGTATAATCCCCAACCTCCCCCCCAAAAGGTCAGCTTAGCTTAGAGTGTCATTGGAGCACCATTGCACAACCTGCCCTTCATCCCAGCGGGGGCTGTTTCTCCAGAAGGTTAGGGGAGGGTTGACTATGAGCCCTTGAGCACAGGAAATACTTGAGTTGCTGGGTCCCGGGGGCGGCCACCTTCTCTCACATGTGCAAACCTCAGACAGGCCAGAATATGGTCCTGCTCAGTGCCATCAGCCACTCTCTGCCCACCCTGATCTTCCTTCTTGCCTCAGAGAGTGGATATTTACAGCAACTGTCCATTTACATGGGCATAGACTTCAGCTCTGCCAGAAGCTCCAAGGCCATAGTCTCTAGGTGGCTCTGGGCCCTGGGAAGAGGTGAGTGTCCTAGGTAGAGAACTAATGGTGCTCAGGGATCCCGGGGGCCCTCAGAGTTAGGGGGGCATCATAGACTCGTAGATGATGCGCTCTCCACCTGTTCCCTGCAGTGGGTAATTTCCAAAGAACTCTGATTCCCTCCTGACCCCCCCCCCCATGGTGGGCCACATCAGCTGCAGTCAGAGCACTGCTGGGGTCCCAGCTGAGGACCCCCAGCAGAGGCCAAGCCTCACTTTCGATCCCTGAGACTGGGAGGCAAAAAGCCCAAGAATCAGGAGTGAGCAGGAAATGTACCCGGTGACTCCGGGCCACACCTGGCAAGGATGGTGATGGTGCCCAGCAAGGAACCCGCACTGGGTACAAATGCATATCTGGCAAATGCCCCAACCCAGCACCATCTCCCGGCCTGAGGCTCTGACCTTCACACACCAGTACCTGGTGCCAGGTCCCAGAAGATGTGCCCACAGCCCCGCTGGGCTGCCCAGTGACCACAGGTACAACCAAGGCAGATGGCCACGTTAACTCCTAGATGCCGCAGGAGTGCCCGGTGATTACCTGACGCAGAAGAACAGGACCACGGGCCCAGACTTCTTCGGGAAATCGTGTTCCAGTACCCTCCGGTCTAGCTGCAGCCAGTTCAGGTGTCCGCTGGGGAGAGAGGCACAAGTCAGAGTCTAGGTGGGCGAAGCTGGGCTATGGGCAGACACGGCCCTCACAGGATTCAGATGGATTTCCAGGGGAACCTGGGAGCAGGGGAAAGTGGGGTGATGCGAGGGAAGGGAGTGACCACAGCAAAGCTGGCATCTGGCGCACTCATTGGTGTAATATAAAATAACATAATATGAGGCTGATACCCAAGGACAGTAGATACAAGGGCCAGAAAGACTGCTCCATAGTTGGCAGCCTGCCTCATGGGCTGGGGGAGAAGGCAGCTGGAATAGAGAAGGGATCATTAAGTCAATGATGGTTGGAGGGATCGCTCGGGATGGGAGATGTGTGCTGAAAGTAGACAAAGGACCAAACGTGATGGCCTCTCAGTGTCTGTATTGCAAACCATAACGCCCAAAAGTAGAGAGAGAGCATATCGGAAATTGTCTGCCACGGAGGCAGGGGGAGGGCTGGGATATGAGGGGGGCGTATACTGGGGACATTGGTGGTGGAGAATGTGCACTGGTGGAGGGAGGGTGTTTGATCACTGTATAACTGAAAATCAAACACAAAAGCTTTGTAACTGTATCTCACGGTGATTAGGTGGGAAAAAAAAAAAGCTGGCGCCTGGGGACTGCCATAGACTGCCTTGATGGCCCGGAGCTTTGTCTCAGTGGTTCTTGTCCCCAGCTGTGGTTGTGGTGGTCACTGCGTGGTGGCGGGACTCTGACACTCGAGTCCAAGGCCACACCCTTCAGGCGGGTGTGTATGTGTGTGTGTGCCAGAGATTGGTGACGACACTAGGGACCCCACATGGCAGTGCCAGCAGGATGGCATTTGGCATGTGGGGTGGTTCTGATGATGGAACTTAAGGCCTCATGCCAGCAATGCAGAGGCCACCACTGAGCATGCCCAGGATGGGCATTCTATTGTGCCCACCCAGCTGCCTTTTCCCCTGAAAGGCTACAAACACTCTACAGAAACACGGCATCTGGGTTCACATGTGCCGGAAGCTGATGGGTGCCAAGTGAACCAGAGACCCTGAAACATTCAACCCACACCGGACGTGCTTTCCAGATATGCACACCTGAGAAGGCCCCACAAAGACATCATAGCCCGAGACACTCAGAGCCGCTTCGCTCATCCAACTAGCACTGCCGAACCTAAATCCCAGTGCAAGCTCTTACCAGGAGCCTGACCCTCAGCCAGCCTGAAATTTCCTGATGCAAAAAATTACCAGTTTTCCTAACTTTCGTGAGTTCTTTAGACTTGACTTCCACCCTAGCCCAAACCCACAGAAAGCCTGATATCTACCAAAATGATCAATTTTCCTACATTTAATCATTTCTCTACACTTAAATTTCATTTTTATTTATTTATTTATTTTTTTATAATTTATTTATTTATTGAATCACTGTGGGAAAAGTTACAGAGCTTTCGGGTTTAGGTCTCAGTCATGTAGATACCGAACACATTTCCCTTTACCAATACTCATTTTTAACCCCGAACCCCAATAGACCCCCACCTCCCACCCCTCCCAATTCTTGTGAGGCAGATGAGTTCTAGTTAATACTCTATCTACTTTGACTAGATAGATTATTTCGATAGAAGATGCACAATTATTGTTTAGAGTTTACGACCCACCCCCCCCACCCCCCAATCAGACATGCTGAAACAGCGTTGTGAAATGATTTGCTTTCTACAACTTGGTTTAAGAATAAAATGAGGTCGCGCGGCCGCGATAGCGGCCGCGCGGTTTTGAATTTCTGCTATTTTACTTATTAACCCTGGAAGAATTTCTATTAAAAGTTAGCTAGTTAAGAGATTGGTTTCTGTGCCCTGGAGTCGTGGCCGTGCCGGAGAGCCGCTCGTGGGGGGCAGCTGGCGACCTCGGTGGGGCGTGGGGGACGGCCCACAAAGCCCCCCTTCCCATGAGGTCCCTGCCGCTCCCCCGAGCCCGGCTCAAACCTGCTTTCCACAAGGCTCCCGTGCGGCCGCCATCTTTCTTTCCAGAGAGGAGCGGGCGGGCTGGTCAACGCCCTTCCCCCTCCGGGCAGGCTTGGTGGCGCGGATCAACACAAGTCCATTTGCTCTTCTGCTCCTAGCGGCTGGTTCTCTGTGCTAAGTCCTTGTGCCTCCGGGGCCGTGGCCGTGCCGGAGAGCCACTCGTGGGGGGCAGCTGGCGACCTCGGTGGGGCGTGGGGGACGGCCCACAAAGCCCCCCTTCCCATGAGGTCCCCGCCGCTCCCCCGAGCCCGGCTCAAACCTGCTTTCCACAAGGCTCCCGTGCGGCCACCATCTTTCTTTCCAGAGAGGAACGGGCGAAATTTCATTTTTAAAAATTAACATTAAACGTTCTGGAGGTCTTCGGAAGAGAACATCACAGTCTCCTGCCCCCGCGACTGGCTGTCCTCGCCAGGACCCTTTGGAGGGGATCGGGTTGAGTTTCCCTCCCTGCCCCGACCAGAGCTCCGGCAGCTGAAGACCTCCAGAACCAGCTACCACCATGCTGAGACCACTCTCCACATGCATGAAGGTACCGGCGGAGGAACACAGGCATGCGGGTCCCAGGGCTGAGATCTCCAAGCCTGCTCGAATCGGGGTTGAGCATCCTCCATCCAGATCCTGCATATTCCAGTAGGCAGGGGTCACACCCACCAACTGACCCCCTGGCGCCGTGTAATCCCATCAACGGCCAAGACACCGAGACTATAAAATCCAGCTCCTGGAAGTGCGCGGCCGCATCATCTTATTATCTCATTCCTACTTTGGACAAACTGGCAGGCTACCGAATGTAACCTGCCCACATGGCAGAGTCTGGCAAACTCCCCGTGGCGTACCCAATATGCCAAATACCAGTAACAATGATGGGTCTCATTCTCCTAACCCTGAAAGAGCCTTGAATATGGCTTTTAAAAAAAAATTTCAGGGCTAGGACGAAGGAGACGTTACTGGGGCCTGCTCAAGGCAATCGACGAACAACAGGATGGTCGTGATCATGATCGTCGTGAACATTAAAAGTGTGAACATCTAACACCTCCAGAAAACTAACCCTAACCCTAGCCAGGCCTATCATTGTAATGAATCTGACCCAATCATAGATATAAAAGTACCAAACAGGCCCAATTTAGCAATGCCAATTTTTCACTTCCTACTTGATCTTGGAACACAACAATATTTCACATCTAAACCCTACACATCCCTAATCCTAATTCTAACCCCTAATTCAACCACAGTAAACCTGACAATTACTGAAGCCAAATACTATCAATTTACCTAAATCTAATCATCTCTCTACACTGAACTTTATTTTTTTTAAGTAAGTTTTATTGGATCACCATGAGATACAGTTACAAACTTGCATGATTATGTTTCAGTCATACAATGCTCGAGCACCCATTCTTCCACCAGTGCACATTCTCCACCACCAATGTTCCTAGTGTCCTTCCCACCACTTCCACCCCATTCCACTCCCTGCCTCTGTGGCAGATACAATCCTTCTTACTCTTTCTCTAATTTTGGGTGTTATGATTTGCAATACAGATACTAAGAGGCTATCATGTTTGATCCATGGTCTACTTTCAGCACATATCTCCCATCCCGGGTGATCCCTCCAATCATCTTTTACTTAGTGGTTCCTTCTGCATCCCAACTGCCTTTTCCTCCAGCATGTGGGGCTGGCTTCCAAACTGTGGCGTGATCCTCCTGGCCTTTATCTCTGCTGTCGTTAGGTGTTAGTCTCATATTATGCTACTTTATATTCCACAAATGAGTGCAGTCCTTCTATGTCTGTCCCTCTCTTTCTGACTAATTTCACTTAGCATTCTACACTTAACTTTAATTTGTCAAAATTATCAACACAGAAGCTGACACTGAAACCTCCCAAACCCTGATTACCCTTGTCCCAGGCAAATCCTCTCATGATGATAAGCCTGACCCTGGCCTAGGTATAAACCAACCAAATACGCCAAATTTGACAGTTGCTAAATATATCACTTCCCTTTCCATCATGGAACACAGCGATACTTCAGACCTAAACCCTACACAACCCCTAACTCTTGCCCAGATTCTAACCTTAGCTTTTATTTTTAAGAATGAACACAGAAAATGCTAACGCTGAAAACATCCACAGACTCCTAATCCATGGCCCAGGCTAACATGATCATTGTAACAGTCCTGACCCTACCCATGCCCTTAAACCAACAAATTATCTCAAATCTGACAATCGCCCAATACTTCAATTCCCTATTTATCTTGGAATACAGGAATATATCACACCTTAATCCTACACATCCCGAACCCTCTCTCTAGCCCGAATTCTAACCCTAACCCTAACTCACAGTAAACCTGTTACTGATGCCATAAACTAACAATATACCTAAATTAAATGACCTTTCCATACTTTAACTTGTAACTATGAACACAGAAGTAGACACCAAAACTTCCAGAAACCTAGCCCTAACCCTAGTCTGAGGCTTATCATTTTATAAGCCTAATCCAAGCATAGACACAAACATACAAATTAGTGCAAATTTAACAATTTCCCAATACTTCACTTCCCTTTATATCTTGGAAAACAGCAATATTTACCACCTAAACTCTGCATACTCCCTAGCCCTAACCCTAGCCTGAATTCTATTCCTAACCCTAACCCAAAATAAGCCTGATCTCTACTGAAGCCAAAAATAACCAATTTTCCTAAATTTAATGATCTCTATACACTTAACTTTCTTTCTTTTTTAAATTAGCATAGCAGATCCTTTCTTTTTTCTTTCTTTTTATTCAAAGTGAGATACACAGCTACAAAGTTGTTCATGACTGAGTTTTAGTTATATAATGTTCCAACACCCTTGGGGCTGGAGAATAGTACTGTGGGTAGGGCATTTGCTTTACATGCGGCTGACCTGGGTTCAATCCCTGGCATCCCACATAGTCCCCCAAGCAATGCCAGGACTAATTCCTGAGTGCAGAGCCAGGAGTAACCCCTGAGCATTGCCGGG